ACCTCCCTGAGACGGACACCGCGGTCCTGTGGGCCGCCGTGGTAGTGGCCTTCTTCTTCATGTTGAGGGCGTCCGAGTACTTAATCCAACCTGGAAAGACATGGGGCCGAGAGCGCGCCGCGCGCGGCGTGGACATCACGGGCCGTGACAGCAACAACCAGCCCTGCGCCTTCAAAGACGCGGTGGAGGTGGTGCTCCACATCACCTCTTCGAAGACGGATCAGTACAATGTGGGGCGTGTGAGGAACCAATGCCAGACGGGCGCATCGCTGTGCCCGGTGGCCGCCATCCGCCAGCTGGAGCAGCACTACCCGCAGAGGCTGCGAGGCAGCGAGGAGGAGCTCCCACTCTTCCGCTGGGCGAACGGCGCGCCCATCCGCCGAGAAGAAATGCAGCACTACTTGTAGTCACTACTTGACGGTAGCAGGGCTGGCCGCCGGGCTGAGGACGGAAGAGATCGGCTCGCGCAGCCTCCGCATAGGAGGCGCAACAGCGATGCACCACGCTGTGGACGACCTGCAGCGCGTCAAGCGCTTCGGGCGCTGGGCCTCCGACAGCTTCCACGGGTACCTGTGGGAGAGCCACGAACCCATGCGCGGCATCTCGACCAACATGGCGACAGACACGTCTGAGCTCACGGCGCCGCCGGCCCGCGCGGCCGAGAGTGAGCGCCGTGCGGGTAAGAGCCCGACCCCGCTGTGAACCGGAGCTGCGCCGGCCGTGACGACGCTCGCCTCCACACCTGGCGGGGCGGACGGCTACGCGATCAAGGTCGACCAGGCGGAGAGCCAGAACCTACTGATCTTCGTGCTCCCGGTCAGCCTGATGACGTGGGCGGCAGCAGCGGGGGTGCTGCTAGCGGCAACACTACTGGGAGTCGTTCGGCAGCACAGGCGGCAGCGAAGGAGTGGGCGGGCAGCCAGCGGGCGCAGTAGCAACCGCAGGGCCAACAATCCCAGAGCGAGCCTGCCGCGCGTGGTGCTGGTGGCAACAGCGCTAGCAACGGCAACGGGGGAGACACAGAGCCAGGAGATTGCGGCGGCCGACGACAAGGCCCAGGGGGTTACACTTCGCTGGGAGCCGCAGATGAGCACGGTGGCGGTCGTCTTCCCGGTGGGGACGGCGCTGAAGGTGGTGGCCATGATCGCAGCGCTGTTCGCAGCGGGCATCGGGGTGCTTTGCTGCTGCTGCTGCTGCTGCGGGATGGCCAAGAAGGGCGAGAAGGTGCCGGAGCACGAAGCACAGCGGGCGGCAGTGCAGCCAACGCCTAAGGCGCCCAAGCTCCCCAAGCAGCCGCAGAAGATGTACTGCGACGCGGGAGTGATGGGCCCGGTGCATTACAACGGCGTGAGGTACGTGCACGAGACCCAGGGCTTCCGCAGGGCCAATGAGGTGACACGGGAAGTAGCTTCATCAGGGCACCGCGGGCCGCCAGGGTGGCCCCAAGGAGGAGAACCAAGGCCGCACCGTGACTGAGGTGCGAGGCTGCCGCGGGCCAATGACCGAGCGGGCAGCGGAGATCCGCCGCCGGCACCCGCCGCGCGAGCGGCTGCGCGGCGCCGGCTGAGTTCAGCCTGGCGCTCGCGTTCAGTTCTGCGCTTGCGAGCAGCTGGGCGCGGAGCGGCAGCAGCTGTGTGCCCGAGGGCAATGGCGCCGCGCCAGCCTGGCAGCCGGCAGTGCCGTCAGGGGGGACGGCGGTGGCGGCTTTGAGGGAAGCGCCGGCGGCTGGCCCAGCCAGGGCTGCCGCGCGTGGCGCATGAAGAACCACCGTGGGCGCCGGCGGCATGCCGCCCTGCGCCTGCGGACCTACCTTGCTGGACAGAAGTGGCAGCGTGCCGTGGATGCCAGGACTGTTGAGTTCCACGCCGTGAGGACCGTGAGGACCGGCGACTACGCAATCCGCTACGGCCAGTTCGGCGTGGTGGTGCATTCACAGGAGGAGGTTGGCGGCGTGGCCCGCGACGCGTGGCCCAAGACAGGCGCCGGCGCGTCATGCGCCAGGCGCCCGAAGAGCAGCACGGCTCCCTGGCAAAAAGGGTGTGCGCTCATCGTCATCGTCATCTGAGCGCCACTTCCTCCTCTTGAGCCTCACACCCACTAGGCTCAATATGTTTTTAGTTTACCAGTGCTGCTTGAAGGGATATCTAGGATGTTTGATAAAACTGATGGATCTCCCCGCTTCCAGAACTGGCGCGGGCTTCCACTTGCGGTTCCCTTGCTCCTGCCCTTGCCTCCTTGCTTGCCCTCTCTCGCTCCTTCCCTTCTCTCCGCCGCTTGGCGGCTCAAGCCTTTTCGAAGGCCAAGCTGGCCCACCCTGGGGGCCCTCTCGAGGCCCCCTTTCCCGCCCTGTTCTGGATTTTTTTGGCACCGCCGAGGCGCTAGGGTGCCTCGGCGGCGGCGTGGCCCGCGACGCGTGGCCCAAGACAGGCGCCGGCGCGTCATGCGCCAGGCGCCCGAGGAGCAGCACGGCTCCCTGGCAAAAAGGGTGTGCGCTCATCGTCATCGTCATCTGAGCGCCACTTCCTCCTCTTGAGCCTCACACCCACTAGGCTCAAGATGTTTTTAGTTTACCAGTGCTGCTTGAGGGGATATCCAATGGAAATGAACCCTTGTCGGGGTCTATGAAGAGGGAGCTTGGAGGGAGGGTTGATTACAGCATCGTTGATGACTCTTGGGTTTACACTGGTCCTCCTCCTCCTCCTCCTCCTCCTCCTCCGCCTCCTCCGCCTCCTCCACCACCTCTTCTACCTCGTCCCTCTCCAGCTACCAGTTACCAGCAGTTGAAGGATGATCCCTGTGCGCCAGGGTCCTTCCCGAAAAACGCCGATCATACGATACGATCTGGCGGCCGGCCACAGCGGGCGGCAAAATGATCTCTTCAATAGGCACGCTGACCCGCGGGCCATTCGAGGAGTCCTTTGGGCGTCAGGCCCTGCAAAAGTCTCTTAGATGCTTTGATGCCTCTGCTGGTGGGGCTCTGACACTGTCCTGCAAGCGTTTTCCTAACTTCTGAAGAGGCCCAACCACCGCACAGCTGATCACCCCCCCTAATCATACACATATTCGGATGGTGGGAGGGGTGCACGTCAAAAATCGTTGTCTTGGGCCGCCCGCGTCGCCTTAGGACTCCAACTCCTCCTCCTCCACCTCCTCCTCCTACTCCTCCTCCTCTACCACCTCCCCCGAGTATGAGCGCAGCAAATTCTCAACAATCAGGGGAAATCACCATGCATCGCTGGGAACGAAGAAACCCTACGCTTTTTCCTGGTGCGCGTCACCACTTCGCAAAACCCACGACCCCGTGCAGGCAAAGACGATGTATATGCCTCCTCCTCCTCGTCCTCGTCGTCATCAGCAGCAGCAACAGTAGCAGCAGTGACAGCATCAGCATCGGCATCGGCATCGGCATCAGCATCAGCATCATCCTCCTCCTCCTCCTCATCATCATCCTCATCCTCATCCTCATTATCATCCTCATCATCATCATCAGCATCATCATCACCGCCACCACCACCACTACCATCCACCACCACCACCATCATCACCATCATCACCATCATCATCACCGCCACCACCACCATCACCACCGATTTTCACCACCGATTCTCACCACCACCATCACCACCACTACCATCACCATCACCATCACCATCACCACCATCACCATCACCATCACCATCACCATCACCATCACCACCATCACCACCATCACCACCATCACCACCATCACCATCACCATCATCATCATCATCATCATCATCATCATCATCATCAGCATCATCATCATCATCATCATCCTCATCCTTATCCTCATACTCACCATCATCAGCAGCATCCTCATCCTCATCCTCATTCGCATCCTCATCATCCTCATCATCAGCATCATCGACATCAACATTAGCATCCAGCATCACCATCCACAATGCACCATTCGTCATCATCATCGTCATCATCATAATCACCATCACCATCATCATCATCATCATCATCATCAGCACCAGCATCATCACCACCAGCATCAGCATCAGCCTCAGCCTCAGTCTCAGCCTCAGCCTCAGCATGAGCATGAGCATCAGCATCATCATCATCACCATCATCATCATCATCAGCATCATCACCATCATCACCATCAGCATCAGCATCAGCATCATCATGATCACCACCACCACCATCATCATCATCATCCTCATCCTCATCCTCATCCTCATCCTCATCAGCATCAGCATCAGCATCAGCATCAGCATCAACATCAGCATCATCACCATCACCATCACCATCATCATCATCATCATCATCAACAACAACAATCATCATCACCACCACCACCGACAGCAGCAGCATCTTTCTCCCCAACGTGTGCTCAAACCTGCGAAGGAAACTCCCGAAGACGCCAAAGGGAGCTCGCCGCCGCTGCGGCAGGGAGACGTGCGCATTGGATGTGGGGCATCGAGGGGGGGGGGAGAGGCATGGTGTCAAGGCCGTGCACGACCACAGCTGGCAGGCTGGATGGGCTAGACGTGAGGCGGTAAGGTGTGCCACCATATTTTGGACGCTGCCTTCTGCTTATGAGGGTATCAGACATCTGCAGGCATGGGCGTCCATCCAGGCATCTGCCGCCGTCGCCTGCACCCTGGTCTGCCCTCCCACCATCTCCCTTCGCCTTCACCCTTCACCTTCCCCCTCGTCCTCCCTCTGCTCTCCTTCTCTCCCCTCCTCCCCCCCTTCTCCTCCCCGTCCATCCCTTCAACTCTCCGAGAATCCCGGGGTTGTGCGGTGCCGTGCCAGCCGTTTGCTCCGCGTAAGCACAGAAATCCCAAACGAGTTGAAGAAAGGCTCCCAAAGAGAGCCTTCTCAACGATGAGAGGGCGCATGGTTGCCACCCGTGCTCTCCTCCTCTCCCCTTGCTCCGCGGATTCCGGTCCACTCCCCATCCCTCTTCTCCCGCCGTCTCCTCCCTTTCCTCCTCCCCCCCGACTCAGCCCAGCCCGTCTCCCCTTTACCAGCAGCAGACCTGTCATTCGCCTCTAGAGATCTCGGGCTACCGCGCCACCTCCCATCGCGAACCACCGAAGGGTGGGAGGCGGGAGGGGCAGAATGCATCAGACGGCGAGGCCAAGGACGATGAGGGCCGAGCGAGGAAGAGGAGGACGGGGGCGAGGAGGGAAAAGGAAGGGGAGGGGAGGGAAGGGGAAGAAAAAGGAGAGGGCGACGTGGATGGGGGAGGGGAGAGCGAAGTCAAGGAACGAAGCAAACGGGGGACGGGAGGGTATGAAAATGGAGGGGAGCAAAGGAGATGTAGGAGAAGGGGAAAGAGGGGAGGAGGAGGAAAAAAGGGAGAGACAGGAGGTTTGGGAGAGGAGTACGGAGAAGGAAGAAAAGATGGAGGATGGAAAAAGGTCGTTGTAACACTCGGAAAAAGGTATACTCGAGGACCGAGATGGGAATCTGGATCAAGACAAAGCTGGGATCGAGGATCGTCCGAACAGTTCCAGACAGTCAAAACCAACTGGAGAATAAGCTGACTTACGTAGCACCCCGCAGTTGCGGACAAGAGCAAGTGGGCAGCGGTAGCGTCGGCAGTCTGTGAGGCTTTGTAGAACCCCGCCACAGGCGCCAAGACCCGCCGCAGGCGCCGATTTCACGATTTTCCCGTCAAAAGAATGTGGGTGGGTCGCGCGTGGGTCGCGGGTGGGTCGAGGGCCGGGTCGCGGGTTTGTCGCAGGTGGGTCGCAGGTGGGTCGCGGGTGGGATGCGGGTGGGTCGCGGGCGGGTCGCAGGGTGGGTCGCGGGTGGGACGCGGTGGGTCGCGGGGTGGCCGTCCAAGGCGTCTGCGACGACAGATGAATGTAGGTGTTCCAATCGATACCGTTGTTGCTCGGCTGTGTTATCCGCGTCGGTAAAGCGGTCGACTGCGAACTCCCTTGTTAGCGATCGTACTCTTTATGGCCGTGGATTCCAAAACAAACAAATTCCTCTTTACTCCCAGCGCCAAGTCTTGCCAGTGACGACAACGTCCTCTGTGCTCGCTCGTAGATTTCTTATATCTGTCCTCTGTGCTCGGAATACATCCTGGCCACCATCGACATGCATGTGAACACCCGGCTGAAAAGTAGTAGCGCTCTCCGGCTTTCGGGCGGGTGTCCTGGTGTGGGTGTGGGGGATGTCGAACGCCAGTGCCCGCAATCTCCTTTCCAGCGCCTTCCCCGCGAACATCCGCAAAGCCTCGTTCCCGTTTGGCTGCCAATTCTTCAAAAATCGCGGAGCGGGACCGCGTAGTTCCAGCTGGCGGTGCAGTGTGATGTAGCTGACGAGAAGGCGGTGGTCGAATTTCTGCCTCAGGGCCGGATTGTCGACGAGGTCTGGCTCTCTGACTGGATGGCTGGAGCCATGGAGGTCGGAGGTGACCGCGATGAAGTCGATCTGGGACCTGTCTGCGCCGTCGTCGTTTCCAACCGCATGTCCACAAAGATTATGAAGAGGCGTTCTCGTGGAAGGCGCTCAGGGCCCGTAGGCCAAGCGGTCTTAACCATGAAGGCACATGCTATTGCATCTCCAACGTGTGGCTGCGCAGCGGCGCAAGCACAGAAGCGCCGGCATGTTGTGATATGGCGCCGATAAGGAAACGTTGGCGTCAAAACCTGCGATAAACGACAGAGGTCGAAAAGGGAATCGCTGTCTGCATGCATGGAAGAATTCGTGGGCCTCCTGCCGAATTGCAGAAACATGAGTCCCCATACCGTCCTGAAAGCAATTATGTATGACATGCACGCTGGATATGAAAAGTCCCGGTAACAGTAGTCCGCTCCAGTACGGGCGGTGGATCTCGTAGCGACACAAGAGGATTCAGGCCGTCAGGAGCAAGAAAACCACAATCGAATCCATCCCTGTGTTCCGCGAAGTCCCTCCGCGACCGGCTGGAGTGCACTACGATCTGGCCAAACTGCGATCCAGCAGCCCATTTAGGAATTTCTTGCAAACGTACCACCGCCGAACCCCAACCCAATTGCTTTAAACTCCTTGCGATTGGTCGTTACAAGGATTCCTGTTGCGGGTATTGAATGATATAACCACGATGTCCTCTATTGCGACACGTGAATTAGCCTCGAAGCCTCGTCATTGCTGTCTCTGCTGGCGTTTCCTGCGGCAAGCGCTGAAATTGGAATCAGCGAAGCCTGTGTCCCTGATGCCGATGAGCTTCAAACCGTCACCCTTCCAGACCACCTTGCCACCTTGGAGCATGTGTCCAACGATAGTCTGGGTCTTGTTGCCGTTCTCCTCGATTTCGAAGCTCACCTCGAACTCGGGGCCCCATGAAACCTTCACATCCGCAGCCGCGTCCGTGGAGTCCTTCACGAAGTCACTGCGTTTGCCTGTGGACACGTACTGTTTTTTGAACGGCTGGGTGTCGCTCTTCCGTGGTCCACAACTCCCTGCCGTTGAAATTGGTACCATGATCTTGGAGAGCCTCTCGGAAGTAGTTCGGCACCTCCGTCAGGTGCTCGGGGTAAACTGGGATTTGCATTCTATGGTTTTGGGGGTGGGTGAGGCGGAACTGCTTCACGTGCCCCTGCAACGACTGTGGGAAGACACCAAGCAATTTGTCGTACACTGTGGAAGCTTCGACCCTCCCCATCCTCTTGGTCCAGACCTCCTCGAAGTCGCAGAAGCTTTTGATCTCGATGTAGTTCGGGAGGAACGTCGTCGAGCCCCTCATTTTGTTCGACAAGTGCCAGGCGAACCTCCATGTCCTCCTGCTTCTGCTCCACGTTCGCCAGTCGGCTCTTGCACTCTGTGAGAACATGTTGATAGGCTGGAGCTCCTTACGGTTCGCCTCGATGATTACTTGCTGCATGCTGGTAGCCCAAGCCAACGCCACGGTCCGGTCTCCCATCTCTGCACGGAATGTGCGACTCAGCTGCAAAGCGAAGCTGTTCAGGACCCTCTTGGAAGCGTATTCGGGCCTGTACCTGGAGGCCTCTAGGAGCCTTGAGCCTTGAGCCAAAATGGCTTGAGCCTCGCCTCTTCCACAACCCTCTTCCCTTTGGGGAGGGGAACCCTCCCCCTCCATTCCCTGAGGTTTCTTGAGAGGTTTCGCGAAGTGTCGGGGGCTATTTCTCGGCCAGTGGGAGGGCGAATTGTTGACAGTCCTCACGAGGATCGTGGCCCCCGAAGGGGGACGAACATCGAGGACCACCCCCTTTTGACGGACCGCCTCCAATCTGGCCCCAAGAGGCCCTCCATGGCTCCCAAGAAACCCCCAATATGGCTCAGACAACGCCCCAAGAGGCGACCAAGAACTTTCCAAGAGGCACCCGAGAGGCCCCCAAGAGGCCACCGAACGGCCTCAGAAAGCCCACGATGACTTACAATATGGCTCAAGTTAGCTTCGCTGTTTGACTATGTTTGTCTCTTCCTCTCTCCCCCCGTCAACTCTCATGGGCATCGTTTCTGGATGAGCTTGTGAGGATGCGCGAAGCGTCAATCTTTACTTTTTGGAAATGAGAAGCCAACACCAACAGCAACAACAACAAATCAACAACAACGACAATAACCATACTTTTAAGACTGTTCGCTCGTTTCTGCTCGCGTGCCATCAACACATATATCCCAAACCCGTGATACCCGCCCTCTTCGTCTTCGATCGTACCTCTTCCGGGTGTATATCAGTGCAGCCCCTACGGAAGGACGAGGATGGAACACGAGAGACAAATTAGCAGGAAGGGGCTAAGAGCAGAAAACACGCGGCAGAACTAGACGGGCAGATCGGGCGCGTAGACCCTAACGGGCGGTTCGGGAAGGCGGACCCAGGCGGCCAGGCCGAGCAGACGGGCTGCTGAAGCGTACTTCCTGCATGAATCGCGAGAAAGTCTCGAACGACAGCGCGATTCCAAAAAAACATCGCGAAGGAATCCACAGCGAGAGCGTGATTCTTGCGTGTTTGGGGCGCAGCGTCTGCAAAATGGCGGGAAAGTCCCACGCGAAAGCGCGACATCTGTATAAATTATGAAGGCGTTCCGCGAGAGAGCGCGATTCGGAAATAAATTGCGATGGCATTTCAAGCGGGAGTCGCTGCTGTTCTAAACCGGGGGCCAGGGGCGCAATTTGGTGGCACCTCGGTTTCCTTGGTAGAAGACAAGATGCGAGTCCCGGGGAAAATTTACTTCAGACAAAAAATGTGTACCAAGCGGGGAACGGAACGGAACGGAAGCCGGCGCAAGGCTCCGCGAGGGAGCTGCCAGGAGGGCCGAAGCCCGCTCACATCTTGCCTTCAGGTGGTCCCACGCCATCAACTTCGCAACTTGTGTCCGATCGTCGTAGCCAATGGTGGTCAGCACATGTTGTTTGATATCGTCCACCCACCAAGTCTTACGGCGCCCTGGGCGTCGCCGGGCTGGCGCGCGCAGGTCCAATTGTGGAGCCCACTTCAGGACTTGAGTTGGCCATTCTGATGCCTCCATCAAATCATTTGTTCGCGTCCATTCCCAGTTGTTCCGCCTGTAAATCGTGGGCCAACGATCCACTTCATATTCGCGCATTCGTCGCGCTGCCTCGTGGGTGGCACGTTTTAATCCATGCCGGCCATGGCTCCAATAAGCTGTCGCCCTCGGCGATGTCGTTGCCCAGGTTTGGGGGGCGGAGCGGCGCCAGTGTCTGCGCCGGGCAAAAGTCGTCGTCTTGGCACACGCGCGATCACGCGGAGCATCCGGCGCTGGATCTTGTTCCATGTAACTATTTTGCATACCTCGTGCAAACGCCCAACTTTCGCCCCCGCGTAATACAGCGGGTGTGATCGCGCCACTGAGCAGCCAGAGTCGGTCACGCAAGGAATATGATATGTCTGTTATTTCTTCTTTCGGTATGGAATTTCTTCCATGCAGTGGCGACCCCGTTGTCGAGTTCGGCTTTGTGTCGTCCAGCAACTTATATCATTTCCCTCCAAATATCTGGCGAAGCCGTAGGGCGGTATTACTTCGATCATCATGCCGTTCGCATGTGCGCGTTCTGGAGGCCGCCCCCTTCGAGTAAATCCATGGTCGTTGTGCAGTATCT